CGACGCTCTTCCGATCTTTTTAAGTATTCATTGCTCTGTATGAAATCAATACTGCAATAAGTAAATTTCTTGTGTTTTTTTTTTTTTCTGTAGGAATATTTGTAATTTCTTGAATATTCTATGTATGCTTACTGTAAAAGTTACATTAACGAATGATCGATTATGTTAAGAATTACACAATTCACATGAATAATTTGAATAATTGTAACAATTGTCAATAGTTAATGTAACGTAGTACTTGATTTGTAATGCGTATAAATTATACATCAATAATAACGTACAAAGGCAATCAATTCTTTTTCTCGACTAATCTCTGTTGCGGCGTAGTTCATTGCAATACTATGTATGTATAAATTAATAAAGATTTTATGTTACAGGGCCTAAATTATTCTTATCCACACATTACAAATTTCTGCCTAATCCTAACTTCAAATTTTTTAAATTCGTTTTAATCCAACTTTTTGTTATTTAAAGCGAAAATTTTTTGGAAGTTTATAAATGGCCTCTCAATTAAACGAAGATTGTCTTTCTCATATATTCAACTATCTCACCCAAACTGCTGACGATATTGCTATATTATATCCTTGTGCTCTAGTCAATAGAACTTGGTGCAAGGCGTCGATTCCAATATTATGGAGTAATCCTTGGGCGATCAGAAGTTGTTCGGATTTAGCAAGGCGTCATGAATTACTTATTAACGCTTACATTTCTAATTTACCTCAACATTCAAAAGATTCTTTAGCAAAAGTTCAAATAAATATTAAGGCTGCTCAACGTACTTCCACTTTTGATTATGCTAGTTTTTTGAAACATTTGAAATTATCTTATTTTGGTAATTCCGTTAAATTCTGGATTGAACGTTCTGTTGAAAATGGTATCATTAATCAAGACTCTCGACAAATGATTCATTATCTTATTGTTGAACATGTAACGAAGCTTTTACTCACAAGATCAACAACTCTACGTAGCTTAGATCTAAGATATTGTGATGATGAAATGCTTGATTGTCTTGAAATTCTGGCTAGTGTTCTTGAAAACACTAACGAAGGTCTTGATTGTCTTATATATCTTAAAGATTTCAAGTATAGTGGAAGTAATCAAGTAATGCCTAGAATATTTGCTTCTCTTACTTCAAAATGTCAAAATATAAAGCAATTGGGTATTTATGGTTATCGTCCAACTGATAATTTTATTAATTTTGTCGATGTTCAAGAAACTTTAAATGATGCTACAATATCTTATGAACAACTTGACTCTTTCTCTGATTGGTCAATAATTCGTTTATCCGTAGAAAATATATGTTTCCCTCTTGACTTTTTAGTGAACTTTGCTAATTTAGAGGAATTATATTTAAGATCATTTGATCATGTTTTTTCTAGAGAGGGTTGGGAACCATTGGCTCGTTTACCACTTAAACGATTAAAAACTTTTTATTTTCAAACTCATTTATGTCAACCTCTCGAATTTTTGGATTTATTTGCTCAGTTTGT